ACACAGATCATTACATCCTAATAGCTAAGCAGCAGTAGGTGAGGAGCCTTTAGAATGCAAACCAAACCACAAGCACTTATCTTTCAACGCCTCAGCTTCATTTGCGTACTCTTTAAATTTGTACGCTTCCTGCTTATAGCTTGGAGGTACTTTTCCTTCACTGTAACATTGACCACACAAGCTAAAATGTGATTTCATCTCTTTAAAGCGAGGCCCAATGATAGGATAGCGGCAAGTTGCACAAACATGGCTACCATGACGGTTCCTATCCCCGATTTCAAGCTTCAACAAAGTAGACATAATGCCAAAACCCCAATCAGGATCATCAAACATCACAAGGAATTCTGCTAAAGACACCAATGATGTGTCCGTATCCCCATGAATTTCTAGCATTTCACTCGTTCCGTGTGAAGGAATATAAATAGCTCTTAAAAGCTTGATATACCTCTGAGCATCAGTTTTCCTTATCTGGTTGCTGCCCTCATTCACGGGTCGCCACAAAAGAGCCTCATATGCAAAGCGTTTCCGTTTGTCTGGTGGTCCTCCACAGATAGGGGCAATAACAGCAAAAAACATGCCCACATCCACCCTACCCGATTCTGACTCGTCTAAAACAGAGAGGATTTTCTGGTTAATGGCTTTAACAGCTCCGACGAAAGTTTCTGGCTTCAAGAAACTAAGCAATCTGCACAGAATCTCCTCCAGTGAAGCCTTACGTATAGACTTTTCAGGCACACCACCTCCAGAATAAGACACCGGTATATCATTTTCACTAATTTCCTTCTTTATCTGATCAACATCACAATGATTAAATCGAGTAATCCTCTGAAAACCTCGAATATCTAGTGCAGTGGCCAAATCTGATCTTAATGTCGTCTTCTCACCCAGTCTCTTAAACTTTGTGGGTTCCACAGTGATGAAGGCTTCCTCCCCATTGTCACCCCCATTCCCCTTCAACCTGTTTTTCTGAAGCTGTTTCAAATGCACTGTTGCATCATGCAATTCCACCCTGTTTGTCATCTTTAGAGCTTCTTTCAAAGCTTTCTTAGCTTCCTCATTTTCACCAGCCCCCAATAAAGCCACAGCCTTATTGAGCTGTGCTCTCCAGTGGTTCGGCCAAACACTTAGTACCCTAGTGTACATCTCTGAGGCTCGCTGATATCTACCCATATCCATATAAAGTCCACCCAAGTTGTACAAAGCATCAACATGACCAGGTTTCAAATCAACCGCTCTCTGAAACTCCTTAATGGCATTATCATCATCACCCATTGCATGTAATGCAGATGCAAGATCACAATGTGCATCAGCATAATCACTCTTAATGTAAATGGCCTCTTCTAATGCCTTGACGGCCGCCTTACAGTCACCCACACCAAAAAGAGCACTACCCAGAAGTTTCATAGCCCTGAAATGAGTTGGGCACAAAATGGCAGCCTCTCTGTAATGCTCACAGGCACTAATAACCATACCTTCGCCTTCAAGAGCAATTCCCAAGTTTACATGAATCTGTGGAAGTAGATAAGCCCACTGATTCCCACCAGTTTCCGCAGCTTCCAGCGCTAGCAAGAACTCCTCTTTGGCCTCGGGATATCTCCCGAGCACATATAAACTATTACCAGCCCTGAAATGAGGCCTTACATCAGCAGGCTGCAATTCACAAGCTCTCTTAAAGCTTACCAATGCCTCCTTAAAGAACTGCTGATCGTACAAAACTCTACCAATTGCCATATGACCATCAAAAGCTTCCTCCCTAGACCTCGACCCATCTGCCCTCGACCTCAAAACTCCCAATTCCTTCACAAATACTGCATAGTCATGCCCCATCTCCTCCCACAACACCCTTTTATCTGATAGCTCCATGGAAGGTGGTCCCAATTCGCGTGACCAACCAGCATCCGAATACACATCAGAATTATCATTTTTCAGCTTCCCTTCTTTTGATTGTTTGGATTTAAGCCTCTTGATCAGTATTTCAATGTCATCAACAAGTTTCCAAGTATCATCAAACACAATGCCATGATTCGGAGAAGCTGCCCACGCAGCTGTCCGTAGCTTCTTATGCGGTTCCATTGCTCTCTCATCGACAATGGACGAGGTGGAGGCCTCCTCCGTAGCCATAGACACCCCATTGTCGTTATCTGGTTTGATGAGATCAAGCCCGAGGGCTTCAAAGTCGCGATCAACATCACCAGCTCCATCATCGTAGGTACGCAATAGGCCATCATATGTAAGGCCCTTCTCGCCATCGATGAACTCTCCGTAAGTTCGGAAAACCTCGTCGAGAATGGCACTGATCTGCTCATCGCTGAATTTGACCCTAGGGTTTACAGCAACCACCAGAGCTGCCATTTCCTCGCGGTTAAGACCCCCATCGCCATTTGTATCAAAATTCTGGAAGATTCTTTTCACCTTCTCCGATCTGCTCCCCCTAGTCGCCATTTCCTCTTTTCAGTCCAAAATTAGGGTTATTTTAACAAAAATTTCGCAATGCACATTCTAGGGTTCCTAAATAATTAGTGATCTCGGATAACAAGAAATTGTTACATTCGAGGTAGAGAATCTGTAATTGGGTGGTTTTACCAAAATAGGGTTCCAGAAAAATAAAATTGAGCAACAAATAGTAAGGTTCCTAAAGAAGTGGGAAAACTTGAACACCTCAATTAAATTAAAAAAACCTAGTTGAAAGGAGGGTGTTTTACAGTGGAAGCAAATTGAAATATAGGGACTATGGATTCTGAAGAATTGGAAGCATATAAAACAAGAGTGTCAACTAAAAATAATTCAAAGAATTGGAATACTCATTAATTTGCAAAACCTGAATGGAAGATGAAGGCTTGCTGAACTGAGGGTAATAGAATAGCATGTCTGCAATAGGGTTTGAGTCTAAATTGACCTAAAATTGGGGATTGGAGTATAATTTAGATAGGGGGAAATGTATGAGGTAGGGGGAATTATTATTATTATTAGATGTAGAGGAGGAAAGGGAAGATTACTCTTTTTCTTCCACTTCGCATTCTACATTTTCTTCCGAGATGATGGAGTAGTGACTACTTTTAGACATGGTTTTGTTTTTTTCAACTTGGACAAGAAAACAACTACGACTCTCTTGATTGAACAGGACGTGCACCTAACGTCTTCAGTCAATTTTCCATCTTATACATTTTGTTTCCAATGATAATTTTCCCCTTCTCTTTAATTTTTTACCGTTCAACAATTAACCAACAATATTTACTTAAAAATTATATGGGGCGCCCTATTTGGTCGTCCCCATTTAACCTATACCTATTTTTTTAAAAACTTTAAACTTGTACCCACTTTTTAAATAATTTCTGCCCCCTTTCTCCTCCTTCTTGCTTTGCAACTCTCTCGAATCATATACAGGAGAATCTCAGCTAAGCAGAAGTTGTTTAAAGATACTACTCAATCAGTATAAACAGACTTTATTTATATTAATGATTCTTACACGCTCCAGGCACAAAATATAACAATTCTCACATAAGCAGAGGCTGACATTTTATCATTGATTGTCTTTGATTTTTTTTCATATAAATTTATAAGAATTTTTATCCATTAGCCTCTTCCTGCTTCTCTATACAGTTGAGCAGACATAACTAATGATAACTTCTTTTTGTTTTTCTTTGAGAAAACGGCACAAAGCTTTGGAACATTAAAGTTGCTCGACAATTAAACGATCTTGTTCTGGGGACTTTTGAAAGGGATAATGGCAATCTCTTCAATATTAGTATGTAGGTTAACTAAATAACTTCAGCTCTCGACAGTTACAAAACAAATCGCCAGTTACAAAACAAAAACTTCAGCTCTAGAGCTGAAGTTCGCCAGTTACAAAACAAAAACTTCAGCACACTTGTTCAGTACACTTGCTACTTCAGGCCCGTCTACTAGAATGCTAAAGTTTTGCGTGATTGCATTTGCTACTTCAGCCCCGTATGCTGAAGTTATGCGAAAAAGCGGGTACGCTTGCAATTTTTTTTACAAAGCGGGCAAAAGTTAAAACGTAACATAAAAAACGGGTATAGATGCAAATTCCCCCATATTTACCGAGCTTCAGTCTTCGTTTGAGTTGGTGATTTGCATTAGAGTGATCACTTGAACAAATATCGTTTTACCATGGACCCAAAAAAAAAAAAAAAAAGACTTTTTCCCTCAATTTGTTCCACAGTTTGAGTGAATTTTTAACTTTGGGATTTAGACGATAAAGATGCACCATGTGATGTTACTGTGTTAGAATATAGATTAAAGGTGTCTCTTTAGCATCATCATTTCTCCAAATTGCGTTGGTTGTTGTGTAATCTCAAGTAGACTTTAATGATTATCCAAAGCGTTTAGCACATGGTGTCCATGAAAATGTTTCGTTCAAGTAAATGACAAAGCGAATTCGTTTTTCTACTAATAATAATCGACTCCAGTTGGCTGTCGGTTCTTGATTTCTTTTCAAATCACATACTTATAAAAGTTGATCTTCTTTTTGTCCCAATTAATCTTTCTCAAGTACTATTATTTTCTTGACTTTTGGCAGATAGGAGGATACAAGGTTTAGAAAAATAACGGCTAGATAGAGGAATAGAGGAGATACAGGGTTAGCCAGTTCCTCTCTCCCTCGTCCAGCTGCTAATGCTTAATACACTGTTACATTTTCATTTTCCTTTTCGTTTTCTCCTGCTAGATGTCACATCATCACATTGCCATTGTCTAATTTGGATTCCAACTGATTTAGCCCAGAACGAGTCACAAAGCCCAACAAGTAAACAAAATTCATCATGCGTGCCATTTCTTTCTTCCTTTGGTCTGTCTTCCTTCCATTTGAGGCTTTAATATTGATTGGAGGAATGACATTCAACTTCAAAATTAGGGTAGAAGTAACGATTATGACGTTGTTTCCTGCTGACACCTAACACGGCACCTCTCAATGATATTATATGTTTTGAATAAAACACAGTGAATTTTCTTCTCCACGATGCACATCAGAACCAAGAAATAGGTATGGACAATATATCCAATTCAAAATTATTTGTACATCATCTTATTGCTTTCGTAACTATTGAGTACAATATTCATAAAAAAAAAATTAATGTAATTTCAAGAACACAAATCATCGACCTATCTGTGCATGACTTCCTACAAGAAACGAACAATCAGAAGAACAAGAATGCTACCCATTCATGTCTTCCTCAACATTGATATTATGTTCTGAGAAACTGGTAAGTTACGTCACTCAGACCAGTAAACACATTTGAGAGAATATTAAATCAATGCTAATATGCTATTGTACACTATTTACCTACAACACACGCAATGAAAACACCACGGCAATGTATCTCCATCAGACAGATATCAAGCCTTCAGGGAGTGGCTCATTGTCCTTCTGTGGTGAGATAAATCTACGGCAAGCATAGAGTACAGCGGAGTGGAATGCGGCTGTGTTGTCTATAAATACAAAGTGACCAGCCTGCAAGCAAGTGTAGTATTAAATAAAGGCGCTTCATTTATGTAGTTTGGGGAAACAAGAATAAAAGTTAAATTATTTTTTCTACACACACACACAGAGAGAGAGAGAGAGAGAGAGAGAGAGAGAGAGAGAGAGAGAACCTGAGGGACTCTTAAGATTTCACATGGAACCTTCATATTCTTCCTAGCCTGTTCCGCTCCTTGATAATTCATCCAATCTTCGTATCCATATATGAAAGCTGTTGGCACCTTCCAATCTGGTGCTCTGCAAATATTAAAAATGAAAGATTTAGCATCACAGAGACTTCTCAGGAGAAAACTGAAGATCAGTAGAGAATGTGACAACAACAACAACATACCCAGTATAATCCCACAAGTGAGGTCTGGGGAGGGTAGTTTGTACGTATACCTTACCCCTACCTCATGGAGGTAGAGAGGCTGTTTCCAAAGACCCTCGGCAGAAGAGAATTGTGACAGACTAGTATTAATAAAATTTGAGAGGTTCTCTTTTATTTGAAAAAAAAAAAAGGGCAGAGAATTGTGATTAAAATTCTCGAAGGTTTAGAGAATCAAGTTACTGTACGATTCAACATTTCAACATCATGTTGTCTTAGCTTGTTCTAGTTTGACTGGCAGACCCAAAAGGCTCCTGAAATCCCTCGAAAACTACCTAACCTACCCCCCCCCCCCCCCCCCCCCCTAAAAAAAAAAAGAAAAAAAGAAAAAAGAATCAGTGCATCCTATCAGAGACCAACTAACGCAAGAGTCGAATGAATTTGTGTTGCTTTGAACAGATTGCAAATTAGATGCTTCAGAGCAGAAAATAAGTCCTTACTAACAAACACGTTGTAGAATCAGGATCGAAGTAATGTGAACCCCGTCCATAAGCAGAAAACTACTACATTCTTACATATTTCATTTGAACTTTTAAGACCTTGTTCTACAGTGTATTAACTACACAATGAATACCATGCCAAATCATCAGAAATGTACTTATTCCATCAATTTAATGAAAGAATTCTCCCTGGTACTTTAATTTACCACAGTAATATACCAATAAACTACATCTCAATCCTAAACTAGCTATCGACTATACAAATCCTCTATAGCTGTTCCGCCGATTCAACCTACTTTATTCCGATACAAAACAATTTCTCTTAAGGGAAATTTGAGGTTCTCTAAGTCTCATGTTTTTCACTAGGACATACATGTCTCTTAAATAGAATAAGAAGACCCCTGGCAAATACAGGACCAAATGAAACATTACAACAGCCAAACATTAATTTTACTAGTTGGTATAGCCTGTATATATGCTTTTCTTCCATTCTGTTACGTTACTAAGCTACGGAAACAACCTCTCTATCCCTCCGAGGTAGGGGTAAGGTTTGCGTACACCCTACCCTCCTCCCCAGACCCCACTAGTGGGATTCTACTGGGTTGTTGTTGTTGTTTTTACGTTACTAAGCAAAGACCGCATTGATTCAGACAGAGATACAGGTCTTTTGAAACAACTTCTCTCAATGTAATTTTAGGACTACCTTGTCTTTTATCAGTTACAAACGAATTTTTACACCTACAATCCCTGTTCATATAAAGGTCTACACGGGATATGGCGATCAACTAACACAGTTGAAGATTAACATATCAAATATCACCAAAGTGTCTTTCAGATTATAATGGTTGTATGCTATCAGCCATCACAACCAGTTCAAGAATTGTCTTTACTTCCTTTACTTTAAATGTTAAGGCGGGGAGGCTCCTAGCAATGGGGAATTCAATATTGATTGCAAGTAATAATTTATTAGTTATTACACCAGTCAGCCAGCCATTTATTTGAATGTTTACAATTATAATCCCTGGGCAGCACACAAGGTTATTAGTAAATCTTCATGCCTCTCAACCATTTGGATGATAAATCCCATGAACTTCAGGCTCCTACTAATATTTAGTTTCTTGAAATAACTGCATAACCGGACTATCCAGATATTTTGCTCATAAACATCCCAAGGTCTAGACAACGGAAATTCAATTGAATTTTCATTCATTAAAGGAATATTTCTTTGAGCTTTCTTGAAAACCTAATTGCAAAGATGTGAAGGCCGGGTCCATATAATGGCATAACTGTACTACCTAAGAGTTCATGTAGTCTTCCATTTAATTCTCTCATCCACACCCTCTCAAGTGAAAGATGGAATGTTAAATGACGCATATTGTCTTGGACATTTTAACCGCTGCCCCAGGGTGTGGTCTAGTGGTCAATGAAGTCGGTTGAGAACCATGGGTCTCAGGTTCAGATCCTAGCTGTTGACAAAAACACTAGGTGATTTCTTCCCATTGGTGGACAAAGTTACCCAGTACCTGTGCTGGTAGGAGGTACTAGGTACCCCATAGAATTAGTTGAGGTGCGCACAACCTAGCCCAAACACACGGTTATAAGAAAAATTTAACACTTATATCTTTTTCCTCTTACTGCAGGTACAGCACAAATTATTGCCGCACTGCTGACTGAGAAGAAACAGAAAACCTAAAGGATCATTTAAATATGTAAATATGTGGGCACTCCAAGTCCTACTATTATTTTGATGAGGGGCTCATTTAAACTCTTCCCTCATAATCCAGCAAAGTGTGGCAGGATCACCAAATACTGCAGAAGACAGTCTAGCTGCATTATAGGAAACAAGAAATGGATACCAAATGGACACAATAAGGATCTACCACAGGAGAATCTTAGGTTTTCAGCATTTTATTCTACAACTCACTAGCAAAAATGAGCATGTATTTGCATGCATGTACTTGTGTGTGAAGAGAAAGAGAAGGGGGTGCAAGAGAGAGAGAGAGAGTGTATATCACCTGTATAAAAGAGGACTCTTGGCAAATGCTCCGAAGGAAAATATATATTTTAAACATAGCTCCCCACTCGGTTTTGCAGCCAAGGTATGATATACATAATCTTCCACAAAGCAAACAATCAGTATTAGAAACCTAAGACGTGCAAGGTATACAACATCATGAGAAATGAAAAACCATGCAAATCAATAAAATATGCAATGTACCTGAGAGTAGCCTGGACTCCTCCTCAGTCAAACTATCTCCATTAGAATATGCAGAAAATCTAGCATTAGTGTATTTGCGAACTAGGTCTGGACCCCATGGGCCTAAGCCTCTGCATTATTAATTGTGACCAATATTAGCACTCTTCAGATGAATAAGGCCATGTAAACAAAATTCTTTCAGAACTATTACTCCAGTTCAAGCTTCAATCCAGGAAAGAATCCCGGACTGCTACAGGGAGCAACTTTGAGCTAAAAACAAGTAAATAAGCAAGACAGGGTATCAAATATAAAAAATATGAGTAGCACCTTCACAACAGTAAAGATTCACAGGCATCAACATAAAAAATAGTTAAATTTAGCATATGCAACAACCATCTGTGGAGTCGGAATTTTTTATCAAATCACTGATAAATACTAAAAAGAAATGACTCTCACACTTAGCAACTCTTTTGGTTACTGAAAACATGGACTATGAGAGGAGGGAGAGAGAGTGAAACAGAGAGAAATATCAGAAGCCACAAGGTTACCCACTTACCCTTACTAATATAAGGCGCTTTTCAGGAAAACCATGATCTTTTCTTTTCATAAGTAAAGAAAAATTGAAAGCCTCATGTGTTGCATAAAAATCCAAACACACAATGAATGCCTGAATTTAGACAAAATTCTGCATACACACTACCCTCCCCAGACCCCACTTTGTGGCATTTTACTGGGTCGTTGTTGTTGCTGTATGATAAATCAAAGAAAAGGTTAGTTCCTTGATTTCCTCACATTAAGATAAAAAGTTACCCCGTTAATACCAATAAAACATCCTTTTAAGGGGAACAAAGAAAAGGTTTGACAGCCAAGTTGAGAACATGGAATAAAAGTGAAGATGCCACATCAAGACCAAATAATACAAAGAAATGAGATTCTACCTCTTTTCCGCTTTTTGAAACGATTACTTGCATTACGCTGGATACAGAGGGTTCAGAAGAAATGGTATGTTACATTTTTTTTTTGAACAAATGTTTTGCGTCGCTTATAATATAGAGGGTCATATAGCTAACGGAGTGACGCCAACTAATTTCGGATTGAGGCCTGATTAATTGATTGATGTCTTAAATTGGGTCATTTTTTGGGAATGTGAAACTCTACCATTCAAGAAAAGGTGCCCACCTAAATTAAGAAGAAGCAAACCATCGTGCGACAGTAGTTAAGTTTAGGTAGTTAAGAAACAATGAATATATTGGCATTAAAAAACCCAAGAATATATCTAATCCATATTCCAGTATCTTATATGGGTACCCCAGGTCTTTTACCATGCTTTCCTCGAAAATCATTTACACCCAGACCCAAGTACAGCATTTGCAACCAAAAAACGATATGCTAGCCATATGAAAGTATCAGTGGAAGAATGGGACTAAAGGCGAGATGATCATAAGCAGCAGTATGCATACATCTTAGAATTAATTATGTACGTTGAGTACATGTAAAAGCTAGCACTAGTCTAACCAGAGACTACAGTGAAAAGAAGGAACCAATGAGCACAATCAGACATATGAAAGTATCACTGAAAATGTACGTATTATGCAGTAAATTTACTTGCAAAAAAAATGTTCAGCAGCATATTAGACTAGAAGTAGAAGCAAAGGTTTAAAAGAACATTTGCCTGACAAGTTTCATCGGGGTAAAATTAGACTCCCACAGATGATTCAAGACGGCTCCCTTCCATGTTGCTCTAAACTGGGTAAGCCGCTCGGACATATGTTCAGTCTCTGATGTAAATCCAGCTGGTCCTACCAGAATCAACTGCTGAACATGCTCAGGATGCTACAAGAGCAATACACTTGTCAATCAGCAGTAAAATATACGTGCCGATATACATTATACAGAAAAATTCACAGTTCGATAAAAACTAATCACCTTGAGAGCATATTTTGCAGCGACATACCCTCCAAAAGAGTGCCCAAGCAAAATAAAGTTGCTAAGGTTTTTGGCTTTGCGCCACTCCTCAAAGGAATCAATAAACCAATCTTCAGTCTCTGCATTAATGTTTTACAGACAAAAAGAAGCTTCTTTCAGATCAAGATTGTTCAGTACATAAGCAGCATATACGTTATCTTGCATCAACTCCCCCAATAATTGAACCAAATTTTGGGTGATTACTATATAGACTTTATTCATCAGTCAAGTGTGTAATTGAACAAAAACACTCAACTTTGGAATCAAGCATAAGACTGACCTTCAGTACTTCTGCATGTGAAGTCAGGCCTGCTTGAACCACCCCAGCTGCATCATACATTTAGCCAGTTAGAAAACTACCATTTTGCTCATTTGTTTCTTTTGTTTTTCATTCTACATAAAAGTGACATCTATTGGAAGACCACCTCCACTCTCCTGTTCTCCTTTAAGACTTATAACAGGAGCTCTTAAAGCAACTAAAGAAAGCAAAAGGAAGTAAAGAATGCTTGGATTAGACCATGTAGTCTCAACAAACTTCTCAAGCAGAATAAATTAGTGTCAACACAAAAGCATCCTATTTTATAAATTGCAGAGCCTTTGTGTGATACATATATAAATAGTTTCTAAGTAGAAAGCGCTGAATCTTTCTGCTCTTTCAAGTCAGATAGCTCCTTGGTTAGTTGTGTTGCAATCTATTCAGTTTGAGTGCAGCAAAATGCTGTGTGCCTCTTTAACTACTAATAAATACAATTTGGCTACTACATCTTTGTATCACCCCATAATACATCAAGTCAGAGATTTCAGTTGAAGAATTATTTGCAGTTACAACTAGGTGAATATGCAAACCGACAAAACAAAACACACTACGATCCACCCAAAGGGATCTAATTTCAGATATTAGTATTTAGCACGATGAGTAAATATCTTCATCCAAAGAAGAATGCTTGGTTAAGAGCATTTAGTGTCAAACTAACTGACCCAAATGTGCCTAAGTACACATTTCTGTGCAATAAACTATTATTAGCAGATAATTTTCAAATCCAGTAAGTCTCAGTTATGGCAACTTGCCAAACAACTAGAACATCTTGAATCAAAACAAAAATCATTAAATTGACTCTTCTATATCACCTGGTACATATGGTGTAAACACAACTAGAGCATGTTTCAATAGGGAGGAAAGCATCAGTATAACATTACGAATTTGCACCCAAATCCACATAATATATACTCACCCAAGCTGATCAATAGCAATAACTTTGAAATGCCTCGCAAGGGCATCAAAATTCCGAAAGAAGAAACCCTGAGAGGCACCATATCCGTGGACCATAACAAGAGTAGGAGAACCCTCTTTGCTATCAAAAGTAACGGTATTGATAAATCTTGGTTCATTGCTCACCGATCGAAACCATCTAACTTTTGAACCTGGTGGACCAGACCCAATATTGACCTGCTCTTGAGTATAAGGAGTCCTAGCATTAAAGAAAATGCACAAAATAAAAAATGAGCCTCCGAGCCTCAATAACCGCAAAGTTGCAGTCTTTATCGACTGAAGCAAACATTTGACAAAAATACAAAACCAAGGAAGTCTCAAACTTTTGTTATAGGCGAAAGAATAGTTCTCATTATGGTCACTTCATGTTGCCTGATGAAAAATACAATGAAAAACTTGCACAACACTAATTCTAAAAGCATCCCAAGGTTTCCCCTGGCCAAACCAACGAATGCAGTAGCATATAAATCCATTTACCAGGACAACGATTATTTTTAGTACGATAGGGTAACACATCCAATTGATCTAGTTACAGGGTTGACTAGTTAGAAAATGTTTGATAGCAGTATAAAGACAGTCTAACTATAATAAATACTCAGGGTAATGAAGAGCAAAATGGATAAAAATGAGTTTTTTTCGACATAGAAGTGGGAAAACTAGCTTGCGTGCACGTTGACTACATTCCACAGCCTACCAGATGTAGGTGCCGGTAAACCCATAGGTTGAAGTATACCAGCCCACCCTATAGGTTGAAGTATACCAGCCCACACTAAGCGTTGTAGCATGAATGATGTCAAGGGTTTTCTCCTACATGTCAACCACTCGGCTATCTTTTTATAAGCAAATAAATTTTATATAGCCGACCGAACTAATTCAAGATTGAGAGAAAATTGATCAGCTGTTCCTTAATTAGATAAGGACGAAAAGGCTCGAGAGAACAATTAATTATATGCGAATGCTTAGATGAATGTAATTGCCGCATAGACATGAATTGGAACGAGAAAATCAGCAGAGTGGGACAATAAGTAAGAAAAAATGGAGATAAATTACCTAACAAGAGAAAGAAGGCGGTTTTCGGCAGCGATGATGTGATCAGTAGATGTAGGTATCCAACGAAGAAGGGAGGGCCAAAAAGACCATTGTTTTGCTGTAGCAGTTGTGGTTGTAGATGAATTGAGTTCTTCTGCCATTTTCACCAATGAATTCGATGAATTCAACCACCTCCTGAACCCTATGCTCATGCAATTGATAATTTATTGAAATTTATTTTCTCTATTTGTCGCTGGAATTTAGCAGTTCAATTTCAAGTCTCTAAAAATAAACAGGTACTTGGCTAGAGTGTCCTCCAAGCATCCATGTGCCTTCCGAAGAAACTCAAACTGAAGCTGAGCTTTCAATTTAATTATAATAATTAGTTTGATTTTTTTTCGCCATTTGACAACCCAATATCATATTGGATTTAAAGCCGTCCGCCAAAGCAGGAATGATGGCGGTGCTCCGACCATTAAATCATTTACAGTGACTCAAATACGTAGGCAGTGACGTGGACGGAGGGACTCCAACCGCAAATTGCATATTGCAACCATTGCTATTTCAAGTTGGATTTTGATTTAGGTCGTGTTTGGTATGAAGGAAAATTTTTTGGAGAATATTTTTAATTTTTTAATGTTTGGTTGACTTAAATACATTGAAAATATTTTCCTCGTCAATTTATTTTCCTTCAATACCTTTCTTACCAAAAGGATTTGGAGAAAAATATTTTTTTAAATTCTTTCTCAACCTTTCTCACCTCACCGTCTACCACTCCACCCCATGCCCCTCCTCCCGCACTCAACCCTCCACCTCCCCCAAACCCCCACCCCCTCCTAACATTGTCATTGCCATTGCGGTGTCTAGACCCCGACCTACCACCCTTCCCCGTTTTAACCCATTCATCTCATAAAGTATTTGCCTAAATTATATATTTTTCAACAATATGTTTTACTTGTGGTCCGGTGTCACTGTTTGACCAAAAAGTGCTGAGCCTTTTAGTTAAACCAATTAATAATGAGATGAAGGATGAATCTTAGTTACAAATAATAAATTCTAGATCAAATATTGTGAGAAGTTGGTTAGTTGAACAACGTTTGACAACATTAAATAGCACGTTTGTAATCAATGAATGCTAATAAAAATGATAACACAAATATGCAATAAATATAGATAATGGCAATAAGTGTAATAAGAAAGAATCTAGCACCAAATTATTATATAACTTGGATGGATCTTTCCCCTGACAGCAACGTGGAAAGAAGAGAAGAGAAGGTGGTTATGGAATCTTTGGATCTTATGAACAAAGATCAAGTAAAGGTGTACTGGAATAAGACAATCAACGAACAAGACAACTTTTGTATATTCTCTCAAGTCAACCTTTTACAATATGTTTTTCTCATAAAGTGAAGATCCCCCTCTTATTCTCTATCTCTTCCTATTGATAGGAGGTATTTCTAAGAAACCCTAATGAGTACAAAAATTTGGGAATATCCAAAGGAATATTCCTTGTATTTATTCCTAAGTCTATCCTACCGTTACTCCTGTAACCCAGTTGTCCGTCCTCGACTGCGCTCCCCTTGAAGAGGGCTTTCCGCTATTACGCCATGGTCGACCCCGTCCTCGATCCTGTATCTAGCTATTACCAAGTCGTCAAATTTAGACCAATAAAGTTAGTCCCTCCGCTTGTTGAGGTCGTAGTCTTGCAGGCCCTCGATAAGCGGATCCGGTTCGCGTCCGTTTAGAAGAAATTTGGTCGCGTTGATCGAATGAAATTGGCCGAGGTTGAGAGACCGGCGCAGCCAGCGAAGCTGTGGTTGATGTGGCTATCGTGAGATGACGTCATGGCCACGCGCGTCATCATTACTCACTTCCTGATGCAGCGTCTGTGCGTCTGCCATTTTGGTTTTGGTGCCATTGACAATCCTTTGCTTCGATTCTCGCGCCACCCAACCCTATAAATATATAGGGGTTTCATTTTTCGGAAGTTTTCACCATCCTTTACTTTGCATGAGCATTGTTCCTCTTTGATCTTCTTCCCCAATTTCTTCTCTTGATTTTGCTTCTTCTATTCCATTCGCCTCTTTCTTACCCAGTTGTTATCTTCTCTTTGGGCTTGGTAGAATACATTTCATTGTTGAAATATGTCTCAAACCCCTCACATTCATGATGAAGTTTCCGATGCCACTCCGTTATCGATGGCCTTTCCTCCCGGCGGTGAGGAATTCCTGGCTGAAGAGGATGATAGCTTCCCTACCGCGGAAGAGATAGTCCCCAAAAACCCTTTGGCTAGAAATGATTTTCCAAAGGAGCCTGCTCCTGCTCCCGCTCAGGTGCTCTCCGAGATTGGACCGCCTCATATAGCCGACTTTCGGTCCAAATATCGCATCCCTCCCCCTATCGAAATAGTTCCGGCCAGTGGCGACATTGTGGAGGTCCATCGACCCGGGTATTGCGCCTTCTATGTCTACCCGTTCTTGATTGGTTATACTCTTCCTCTTCTTCCGCTAGCGAAGGAATTTTGCCGATTTTACAACGTCTGCCCGGCGCAACTCTCTCCTTACTTGTATAAAGCTTTCTTGATGCTGACGAAGTACGCGGAGTAGGCTGGTTGTGAGGTTGACGTTCGCCACTTGTTGCACTTATTTTCGCCCAGTTTTTATAGAGGTACTATGATACACCTACGGCATCGTGGGACCAGAGGGCTGGTAGTCGAAATGGATGACAGAACGAATCCGAAGTTCTGGCATAAGTACTTCTTCATCAAGATCGAGCACTTGGTGGCGGACCCGACTGGATTTCCCGAGCAGTGGAATCATAATCGTAAGTGTCTCTACCGTACGCTCGTTATCTTCTTTCGTCCTTTCATTTTCAGCTCACTTGCGGTTTCCTTGTTTTTCAGCTGAGAGGCGCGCACCTTCTCGTGTATTTGACATCGAAGATTAGGTGGCTCGCTTGTTGCCTCACATGGTGGGGATTCGTGATTGGGCGTCTTGTATACGGTAGAATCGGAGGGTCCGATTTCTCGTAATCAAGGCACTTCGGAAGATCATCGCGAAGGCTCGAGGCTGCAAGGCTACGGTCGAGTTCTCTTTCCTCGAGGTTCGTCGACGCTCGACCTTGAGATAATGTTGACCCTGGCTATGGTAGAAATGGGGAGTTCCCAAGACACACGACTAGGACTGACAAAGTCTAGTGGGTTGTTCTGAACCCAAATCAGGGCGTCATTCAGCTGTCCCATCCCCATATCTATGTAATTAATGTATTTTGTACTATGTTGGGATTTCGCTCCTATATAAAGGGAGTCCTTGTCATTTTGTAAGAGGCCAGTCGCTCCAGTTGCTCCACACGAAATATAAAAGAACATTCTCTCTGCTCTCTTACATATTCTCTTGATATTATTGCTTCCATTTACTATCTTCATTATTGTTCATCATTTATTGATTATCATTGGCCATAAAGAGCTTTCTTTGATTTCATCATAACTGTTAGTCATACTTCGGTCACCTTCGATAGCTCACAGTCGAGCCCCGGAATCGACCTCGAGGCCGCCGAATTGACAAGCTCGAGGCCCCGATTGTCAACCCATCAGTTTGGTTATCACCCCATCCCTAACTCTTATTTCTTTTCTAAGTCTCACACATAGCATCAACTGCTCTACAACCGAAATAAAAATAGATCACGTATTTTTAGAGTCTCATAATCAAATTTAATTGTTATTACCATTTTCACGGTAAACAGTTTGGCGCCCACCGTGGGGCTAAAAATAATAGTGATTATTTTCTTGCTGGTTCCATTACACAATGCAAGTTATCTTTCACGCTTTTTCTTGTCCAAAGATCTTTGATTTCAGGTTGGAATGTCTGATTCAATAAACAATAACCTTGAGAACCATGGAGAGAATGATGTGGTTGTTCCAGGTGTTGGTGAGCCACCACGAAACCTTGAGGACGCACCAGGACCAATTCCGGCGGACGAAGTCTCGCGCGACGCTCAACACGTCGAAATAAGCTCCCACACTAACAGGAGCATACACCAAGGCGACCAACAAGAAACTCCAGCCCGAGAAGAACAGGAGGTTAGCCTTCATGTTATTTTTGAAATGTTGCAGGCACAACAGCTAGCTATTGCTCAGCTGCAGAGCCACCAGAAAACTCCTAGCATAGTAGCACCGGGGACAGCTCCCCCGGCCGAACCGGTACTGGAGAGATCGAGCAATAACGGGTCGATGGCCGACCCCGCCATCGTAAAGATGCTCGAGGACCTCACCAGAAGGATCGAATCGGGCGAGAAAATGATAGAAGCCAACGATAAGAAGGTCGAGACTTACAACTCTAGGGTCGACCAAATTCCTGGAGCGCCCCCGATCTTGAAAGGTGTGGATTCAAGGAAGTTCGTACAGAAGCCGTCCCACAAGAAGCGGCCCCAAAACCCATTCCAAAGAAGTTCAGAATGCCCGATCTCCCAAAGTATAACGGAACGTCGAATCCCAACGAGCACGTCACCGCCTACACTTGTGCAGTAAAAGGCAACGACCTAAGGGACGACGAGATCAAGTCCGTCCTGCTGAAAAAGTTCGGGGAAACGCTCTCTAAAGGGGCAATGATGTGGTATCACAACCTCGCCCCAAACTCGATAGATTCATTTGCCATGTTAGCGGATTCTTTCATTAAGGCACATGCTGGTGCCATCAAAGTAGCAACGAGGAAATCCGACGTCTTCAAGATTAAACAAAAAGATAATGAGATGCTGCGGGAGTTCGTATCTCGCTTCTAGATGGAACGAATGGAACTACCACCAGTCTCTGACGACTGGGCGGTACATGCCTTCATGCAAGGTCTGAACGAACGAATCTCGGTGGCTTCGAAATAGCTGAAGCAGAACCTAGTCGAGTACCCGGCCGTGACTTGGTCGGATGTTCATAACCGATACCAGTCGAAAATCAGGGTCGAGGACTGTTGATTTCCAATTTTCCCTAAGTATTTTTTCTTGCAAATACTTTCAAAATAGCATATATAAGTATTCCCAAGTGTTTTAGTATTTTTGCTAATTTTTAAAGGATTTTTAAATCAATTTATTGCCCATTTTAGCAGTACAAAAATTAATAATTATTCCCAAAATTATTATTTTTGGTGAATAACTTATTTTATTCTTATATTTATACCAAAATATAGCTAAAGTAATTTTTATACTTTTTTTACAATTTATTTAGTATTTTAAAGGATAAATTGCACGTAATTGCAATTTTAGCCTATTTTAAAAATTAATAGCATTCTATAATTATGAAATTGGTTCCAATATTTTTAAATTAATATTTATATATTATTAACTGATCCAGTACTTTTAATGTGCTTTCAAAATTATTTTTACTATTTTTATAAAATAAAAGGGAAAAACTGGCTATTTAAAATTTGGCCTCATTTCGTTTCAATTGCAGCCCCATTATATTTCGATTATAGCCACATTGACCCCCCCTAATTGACCCAATTTTGAATCCCAACTGGACCAGCACAATTCCATACCCTTAACCCG